TCTGTCACTTCACATTAAACAGCGCCAAAACGGCATTTATTGTTTGAATACTGCAATACAATGGACAGAATTTGAAATCTGAGACTTTGTTTCATATTAAAAGTACCAAAGCACAATGCTTATTGTGATATATTGGATGGGAGGCGCCCTCCAACACTCCGTCCATTAACTGAACACAGGCTAGAATAATCAATTCTTGGGATTTAAGAATTGATATCGTTCCGTAAAAATGAGAATCAATTAATATTGAAATATAGATATTTTTTACTGAGCCCTAATAAATATTACTAAATTAACACTGATCCAAGCTTACACACAAAACAGGTGTGTGTGAGTGTGTGTGTGTGTGTGTGTGTACATGTTTTTCTACACTGGTGGGGACCTAAATTGGGGTCTACATAGATTCAGAAGCTTATAAATCATACAGAGTGAGTTTTTTGAGAAAGTAAAAATGCAGAAAGTTTTCTGTAAGGGGTAGGTTTAGGTGTAGGGCAATAGAATACACAGTCTGTACAGTATAAAAACCATTACGCCTATGGAGAGTCCCCCACAAGGATGGCAAACCAGACTGTGTGTGTGTGTGTGTGTGTGTGTGTGTGTGTGTGTGTGCGCGTGTGTGTACTTATATGTACTGTATATTAAATTTATATACTTTATATTAGTGTGGGTGTGTGGGGGGGGGGATGAGTGTGTGTGTGTGTTTAGTTAAAGTTTGAGGTCTGCAGAAGTGAGTTAAATGTGACAAAAGCTCATCTACTGTGGAATACTTCATAAATGATTGATAAATGAGCAGTGCTGTCCGGGTTTGTTTATATGCAGTTGTTTTGATGCTCACACATGCATTTGTGTGTTTCAGTCCACGTTTGTCTAATTGTTACACATTCCTCAACAGAAAGTCGGGTAATTAACCAAACCTAAATGACTTGACCTATCAGCAGAGCCTGTAATAAAGAATCAATTAATGATTCGATCAGCGTGAAATATCGATCAGCGTGATTCTCGATCTAATTACACTGAAAAAACCACAGCAGAAGAACATGTTCCTCTGGAGAGAAGAAGAAAGAGTAACGAAGGAGAGAGAGACGGATCGCATTACCCATAATCCTCAGCCACACCCCACAGACCAATTCCTGCTCATTAAAAGAGCATTTCATCAAGCTCTATTAAAACATCACACACACACAGTGAGAGAGAGAGAGAGCGTGGAGTATAAACACAGCTGCTTCAGACTGAACACAGCTTGCTCTTCTCATCAGGACAGAAAGAGAAACAGAGCGCTGACGGAGAGACTGCAGGACACACGGCTCATTAACACACTCGTTTAGAACGGGACACAGGCACAATTAACACCTGAACGTGATCCGTGAAACCGTCTTCTGTTTTAAAGCACTTCGGGTCAGTACAATCAACCGAGAGCTCACGGAGCACATGCATGCATCGAAACACCAGAGAATAGAAAGAACAAAAAATACATTTAAATCTATTCAAATTTAATTTCTTATTTAAATTCTCTTCTGTATATATGCATGCATGAACAGAGTTAAAGCTCCTGGAAACCCCAACAAATGCAAATCAAGTCAAATTTATTTATACAGCGCTGTTCACTCACACACACACACACACACACACACACACACACACACTCACTCACTCACTCACTCACTCACTCACGCTCGCTCGCTCGCTCACACACACACTCGCACTCGCACACGCACACTCTCACTCACACACACACACACACCCACACACACACACACACACACTTTACAGAAAATCACGATGTTAATGTTTCTAATATCTTAATATCATCATGCATTATAGTTACGCTTTGAGACAAAATAGTCAAGCAGTTGAGATTTGCTATATAGTATAAATTGCTTTACACTGTAAAAAATGATATAACCAATTAGCCATGGTAACATGTTAAACTAAACATGTTAAATTATATGAGATTCAGTTGAATATAATTTAAGTTGAAGTGACTTGTACAGTTAATTTGATTATACCTACAAATTTAAGGCAGCACCTGAACTGAAGTTTTTTAAGGATTTTTTTACAGTATACGTGAAGGTAATGTCTGCACGCAGCTCAGGGTTATTATAGTCAACTAAAACTAAAAACATAACAAAAAAATGCTGCTACCTAAAATGAAATAAACGTTAAATGAAACAGTAAAATATAGAAAACTTAAACTTATTTTATTTCAGTTAGTTTCAAAGTCAACATTTCTCCTGTTTGTCGAGTTTAAAATAACTAAAAATGATGATGTACTAAAATAACTAAATCTGAAATGCAAATGAATAAAAACTATACATGCATATTTAAAAACAACAAAAACCGACAAAAATGGCACAAACACACAATGATTACTAAACCGGTAACACTTTACAGTAAGGTTCATTAGTTAACATTAGTTCTATCATGAGAACTCTCTGAAGATTTTAGCATGATGTACATGACAATGTTAATGTATTTGGTCTTGGCGGAACAGATCTGCTACGCTGCTGCTGTTGGTTATTGCTGTATTTGTAGATTATTGCTGCTGCAAGCAAGTACAGGAACTTCTACTGCTAATACATTAACAAAGATTAATAAATACTGTGATTAATGTATTGTTCATTGTTTATTCATGTTAGTTAATACATTAACTATCATTAACTAATGGAACCTTATTGTAAAGTGTTGCCACTAAAACTTTAAAATTAATATGAAAGCAGAAAATATAAAAAAAAAACTATTTTAGCTATAATAGTATCATTCTGATTCTGATGAGTTTGATTCATATTGAATCAATTAATTAATTAAAACGAGCAAATTAGACATTTGATCAGATGTTTGAAGGAAACTCACCTCTGCAGCGGTCAGAGTCCACCGGCTCGAACCCTGGTTTACACACACAGGTGGACGAGGGAGGCCCCACCCACTGGCCGTCCTCCCCACAGAACATGGTGGGCGGGGCTTGGCCCGTGTGGGCGGAGTTTGTCACACACACGCCCTCGGCCTGCTGCACCAGCGAGTGAGGGAGCGTCTCGGGGAAGGAGGAGAAGGCGCGGGTGACGGCGGGGCACTTCTTGAAGAAGACGCGGACGGAGAGCAGGGCCATACACGCGCCCTGAGCCTGGAACGCCAGGTAGAAGCCCTTCTTCGACAGCGGACCCAAGCGCACCGTCTTCACGTTAGACTTCCTCTCTCCGCCACGACGCAACAGGAAGTCAGCCGCGACTGTGTCCACCTGCAGGACGAGAGGAGAGCGAGTGATCAAG